TCTGGAGAAGTTAAAAACAGGAAAATATTCATGGAGCCCTCTGTGCCTCCACAGAGAGCTCCATGGTTTTGTCATAAACAGTGAAAACGGAGAGGAGCAGTCCCAGCAGGAATATGTATTAGGTCAACTGTTTCCATCATGCACACCAGTGGCCTCATGGTGGATTAATTCATTAGTCTGAACCCTAAAAGCCCTTGGAGACACTTCATTCAAGAGTGAGTTTGGTGAAACCAAATTTATAGAGTGGAATATGGCCTCTATTAAGTGTCCTTCTGCAGTCAGATTTTTTTTAGATTTCAGCATTGTAAGTCATGTGGTGTATAATCAAAGCCTTTTCCAGGTACACGTGTTATTGTAGGAAGAAAAAAATATTTTTAACTTGAATCTGCTGTTAAATAAAACTTGTCACAGCAGGAGAATTCAGGTGAGTCGTGCATAACAAATAAAAATGAAGTAAAGTCTGTCTCCCCAGTGCCACATCAAGCCCTCCCTCTCCTCTGGCACAACCACGACTGATTAAGAATCTCGTAAAGTCAGGCGTCCTTTCCTCTCAGTGATCCTTAAGCAGCACATTCCTTCTTTAACCAAAGCACACTCTCTTATTAGAACAGCAAGTTTCCTTGAATAAGAATTGTGTTGGTTCTGTTTGTAATAAAGAATGAAAACATCCTGTGTTTCCCCATGAGGGCTTTGGGGAAAGGTATTTGATTTGCAGGTCATGTCAGGAGACGCTTTTCCAGCTACCATGGGCTTTCAGTGCCTGGAAAAAAGCCTACTACTGACGGGCTCCTGGGCAAGTTCTATAGTCTCCAGGTTTTTGGCTTGCAATGCTTGTCGTATGCACATGAGTGAGAGTCAGTTTCAAACAAAAGAACCATTGTCTGTTTCTGCCATGGTAAAGGAAATTGAAATATAAGAAATATAGTCACAAATTTAAAAAAAAAAGAATAGATATATGTAAATGGCAAATGGCGCTTTACACAATCAGTCATCCACCCATTCACACACTGGTGATGGCAAGCTACATTGTAGCCACAGCTGCCCTGGGGCGCACTGACAGAGGCGAGGCTGCCGGACACTTTTCTTCCAACTCTTGAGCCACGATCGCCCATAAATAAATAAATAAATAATTTTTTTATTTATTTTTTATTTATTTATTTTCCTATTCCAGAAATCAGTATCTGTATTACAACATTTTTTTAAAACTCTGTCCAAAAACTTTAAATCTGAATGGCTTTTTAAGAAAATTCAGAAACTTTGGCATTATTAATCTCTATAGTTTGGATGGTACCAGGAGTAGAACTCTTTTTCTTGGAAACAGATTTTTTAAGTGCTGCAGACACTCTTTAGTACAAAAAAGGCAAGAAAAAATGAGCTGCAAGTAGTACTAAAGTAAGTAAAGTGGAGTGAATGAAATATATTGTGAGATTTCTACATATGAGGCTGAAGACACTTAGAAATCTACATAAATAGACCCCAGGGACGACATAACACATTATCAGCCAAAAACTGTATCATATTAAAATCATGAATATTGTTCCTGTTAGTAGGCTTGGACAGTGTATTGAAATTTAGGTATCATGCCCTTATCATACCTTTCAAATGATCCAACATTCACACAGACAGTGGGGCTTTGATTAATGCTTCAGCACCTACAGTAATTGTTTTGTCTTTTACCTCTAGTAACCTGAAGCCTGGCAGGCAGACTTCGTATTCTGGGAAAAACTGGTAATGTTTCCTGACGAGAACAAAACAGCTCCCATGTTCTTTTTTTGTTTTTGCAACTTGTTATTTCAACTCCCAAATCAGAGTCAGAGGTCTAGGGAAACAGGGTGGTCGGTCCTGTGTTTGCACTTTTATTTCTGAAACTGATACTTTTACTGATTATCAATGTTATTAAGTAGATGGGAAAAATTTACAGTGTGCAGTGCTTCATGTAGGAAAGATAAGTGAGAACAATACACAACTGATTCAAGTGATTGAAGTGATTAAACAGTTGGTAACAGTAGAAGCAGACACATGCTTCTACTGCTGTGGAAGCATGCATCACTGATTCAAGACATGTGGGAGATATTAGTCACAGGTGTATGCATAGTTCCTGCTTGGAGGCTTTCACTTCATGGGTCATTTATAACCCAAGATTCTTTGTTATCACTGTGGTGTTTGTACTGAACACCCCGCTCTCCCTTTCAGGGACCCTCCCCTCTCTGGACTCTAGCCCTGTGCTTCCCTCCCCAAATCCAGGAGCCAGTCTCAGCCACAGAGGAGTCTGCTGCTCTCATCAGGACCCTGGAGCTCTTGTTTTTTTATGAATTATACTCTTCCTCAGTCTATCTTTGTCAGTCCTTGGAAGCAAAAACTCAGAAGGTTGTCTCAGAGTATCCAAGAGGTAATATTCAAAGAGAAATGTTCACATGGACTATTGCATTTGTTCAAAACCATTTATTAAAAAAATAAGAGAAAACAGATATTACGCAGCACTTTGCCCGCTTAAGAGACTACGGGTACGCATCAAAAATGTTTTATCTTTTGTATTTTTCTGGGCTAACAAACAGTGTCTTACTAAGGAATATTTTCTCCCTTTATATTTGATGCATAATACTGCAACTTCAAAGCCTGAAGTTGGAGCAAAAGTTATCTTTAGTCTTCCTCCTTTTTCTTCTTCTTGGTCTGTGGTGAGGTATTGTTGGTTTGCGAGAAATACTCAGACATGGCAGCAAGCGCCCGGTACCGGTGGGAGATTGAATTCTTAACTTCTTTGGGCAGTTCAGCATAGCTGCAGAGAAGTGAGAAGAAATTAGTAGTGAAAATTATTATTTGATACAAATGTTAAATAATAACAGTAATACTTCATCCCAAGTGCACCGCATGAAGCAAAAAGGATTTTGTATGGTTGATAATGCAGAGGCAGTGTGTTAACCTCTGGCTCCCCTTGTTGGTCGAAAGAGGGAAATGCAAATTGTTTTGCTTACGTTTTGTCATATCCATCTGGCTGGAAACAAGGATCCCAGCCAAAGTCTCGAGGCCCTCTGGGTTCTACAATGCACCCCTGAAAATACCACAGGAGTCAATTCAAAATACACGCACAAAAGCACAAACACCAGGACAGATTTACAGAGACAGACTGACCTCTGTTTTCCCTCTGAAGAGCTGAATGGGTTCATCTTTCCCAGCAGAGTATGCAAAAGTGCAGAGAGCCCATGCAGATTTATCCTCAAATCCAGCTAGAAGTTTGTACAAACCTAAAACGTATTTTAAAAATAATAATTTAAAGAAAAAAAACAAAAAAAACAAAAACAAAACACAACACCCCTCAAAAGTCAAGACTAGTTTTTCTAAAGAAGCTCTGCATAATACCAGAATGTTGATTTGGTTTATGTGAAGTGACCGTGCGACTTCTTCAGTATCAGCTGACTGCAGGTTTATAAACAGATTGTAAAATTTAACTATTAAAGGTGCTTGCATAAGAATGAGCCACACGATCAGTTGATGACTGCTGATATGCAAATATGAATGGCCATGAGTACTACTAACAAAGAACTGGGGAATGGCTCCAATCACGGCATTGTAAGATGGTAGGAGATGTACTTTTAGAACTGAGGAAGGGGGCCTCTATTTTTATATCGATGCCCTCCTCGCTCAAACCTTCATTCTTTCCTGTCCAGAATCTGCACATCTTCATCAAAAGATTGGCCTCTGGCTTGTAAGTGTAGACTGCCAAGTTCTGGCCTGTTCAGGTAACACTTCCGTGCAACATGCCTAGCCAGCAGTTCTTTGGTTTTTCTGAAGAAAATTCTAATTGGCATATCTGGTCACGTGAGTCATTGTTAAGCAATGGTGCTGATCTTTATGCAACCGTACTGTCTATAAGGTTTGGGAGCCTGCAGTGAAGTCATCTGGATAAGGGATGACAGGTTTCTCCAATTGAAAGCAATCTGCCCAAATGAACTGAATCAACTTTCTGGGATTTCCTAACTTGATTATCAAGCATTCATCAAGCTCTGAATACGTTTGTTTAAACAACACATTTTGATAGCATTTATTTCATTACTTACCTTCTGGTTTGAGTTTTTCCAGGAACCATTTACTATGGAAACAGATATTTGTTTTAAAATTGATGCTCACTATCACTATGTAAGATGATACCGTTGAATACATACTTTAGATAGTTGACTTACATGTAAGGACCAGGTAATCCCCCCAAAGCTCTGAAACATAGACAGGTGTCCTCTACTATGACTGGTCCATCAATCTGAATTGGGGGGGCGGGGGTGTTAAGGCACTGTCTTTAATTAATACGTGATATGGCAGTGGTATTAAATTGTACCTGTCGTGCAGCCTCCTTACACTTCTGTATGGAGATCTCATCTGGCTCTCCCTGGTATTCAGGCACTGCATAAAGAAAATTTTGCAAAAGCAATGACCACATAATTTTAATGTATTTATTTTTCTTTAGCCGGTGGTGTTACTTTTGATACTCACAGTCGATCTTTTTCGCCACTAGTTTGTAGGGAAACTTGTCGCCCAGTATCTGAATGACCTGATGGATCACAAACAAGCAGACGAAGCATAAATCTTCATAAATCTTGTGAGGCCTTTTTGTGGCAAACGAAACAAGGGATTTCTGGATTAAGTTACTGCTCCAGTCTCAATCTCACTTTAACTAGCTAGCTCAACATGCAGCATGAAAAGGACCGTTAAATGAACACATATTCTTCCTGGAACGGATTAGAAAGGCCACTCCGACCGTAAACATACAATCCATCTCAGGTATGAAGTATTTGTTTCTTACTTCTTCAAGTTTTTTTGCGTTCCCTGTCACGAAAACCACAGACCTTCCAGCGGGTACCGCCATGATGAATTGAACCCGGATGACTAACAACAGCGAACCGAGCACTTCCACATATGCAGCGACCAATAACAGCAACTCTGAAAGCCTCAGCCAATCATCGTTAAATCTGTAGGGGCACTCCACCAATCAGCAAGCGGTACTGGAAGCAATGTTGTCCGGGTGGAAATCAAAGCCAAGTGCCATGTGTAGAAGCGGCTGTAGGTAAAGTTACGGTAAAATCTGCAACGTTTTGAACCATCACAGACGACCATGAGTCTTTTACCTCGCACCGCCGAGGAGTTCAGCTCTGCTGAGTACTGGGAGAAGTTTTTTAAGAAGAGAGGGGAGAAGGCTTTTGAATGGTATGGAGACTACAACAAACTGTGCGGTGTGCTGCACAAATACATCAAAGTCCAAGATAAGGTAAACTGGGTGACGAAGGGGTTTGGCGAAACACTCACTGTTTCTTTTAATACTGCATTAAGAAATTTAGTTTGCCACATGATTTCAAGAGCAACAGTGATATGCAAAGCTGCAGTAACTACAGAGAGCTGATGTGCCAGATCATCAAGATTGAGGAGAGAACTGATGATCAGCAAGCAACAGTATGCCTTTATAAAGAGAAAGAACACTACAGAGGCAATGTTTGCTTTGAGTGTTTTAATGGAGAAATATAGAGAAGGTCTGAAGGAGTAGCACTGTGTCTTTAGAGAAAGCATATGGTATATTTCTTGCCTTGATAAGTGACCGCTAGGCTTTATTTCTGTCCTTCAGGTGCTGGTGGTTGGTTGTGGTAACTCTGAGCTGAGTGAACAGATGTATGATGTTGGCTACAAGCATCTGACCAATATAGACATTAGTGAGACTGTGGTCAACAACATGAACCAGCGAAATGCTGAGCGCAGGCCAGGCCTTACCTTCCATCAGGTGGATGCTACTAAAACTCCATATGAGGATGCAAGCTATCAGGCTGCTCTGGACAAGGGCACCTTAGATGCTATGGCATCTGAAGAAGAAGGAGCTTTGGCCAGGAACATGCTCACAGAGGTGAGAAGCAGGTGGATCAGGCTGTGCATCATCAATATACACCTCTGCATGAACTTCACTGTATTTTTCTTGTGTTTCCAGGTGGGTCGTGTGCTAAGTGTCGGGGGTCGTTATGTCTGTGTGACACTGGCTCAGGAGAGCGTGATCAAGTTGGCTGTGGAGCATTTTGTTCAGCTCGGCTGGGCAGTGAGGCTCCACTGCCTGCAGGAAGAAAACAGGACAGAGGAAGACTCGTTTGCTCTGCCTGTTTTTGTTCTGGTTTGCACCAAGTTCCGTCAGCCTATGCCCACACCCATTCTTGAGATGTGCCTCGGAGAGGATGGAGCCCCTGTCCGTCACACGCATGTTTCTGAACTGTTGTCAGCTGTGAGGGAGCATCAGGCTTACTCCGTCTTGAGAAAGAGGCTCCGGACGAACACTGATGCCAACTCAAACCTCTCACTCACGCTCTGCCATGCAAAGACCGGCCTTCCCAGATACACTCTTACAATACAAGATTCTCCACCAGGTGCTAAGGTTCCAAGAGCAAACCAGTTTGCTATATTTATCGGTGAGCCCAGGCTTCAATTCATCAAGTTTCTGCCTTCTAATGGAATTGGGTGTATTTAGTCCTTTGATTTGTTGTTTGTTTTGTCAGTTCCTCAAGGGAGTGAGACAGCCTGGCTCTACAGCTCTGGTGAGGGGCGGAGGCAGCTAGCAGCCAGTGCTAACTTTCAGCGCTTGGTTATTGTATCAATGCACAGGAATCAGGAGTACACAGAGATGCAAGCTGTCCAGTCAGAACTCTCACCAGTGGTGATGGACCTGGCTCCCCCGGGTATGCCAGCCAACCACCAGGTAACCACTCATAAGCATCCCTTTTTAAAAACATGCTATGTAAAATATTAACAGTCTAAAGAAGCACTTTCCTTTGTGCTCTTTTCCCTGTTTTCAGGTGCCATTTCTGTCTGTGGGAGGTGACCTTGGCTGGCGAGAGGAGGTTAGCAGGGGAGTGAGTCAGCTGAGTGGGGAGTATTGCGTGGAGAATGTCAAAGGAGGGGACGGAGAACTGTATCGCCGACTTGTTTTCCTGTCTAATGCTGCCCTTGTCCAATCAGAGAGCCGTCTGGTCTCATCAAATACAGGTAATGTCTTGTACTTTCCTGATTTGTTTCACTTAATAATAAAGTATTTTTATGAATGGTCTTTTTACAACTAAATAATTAACCTACTGAGCACAACCAATGATGCACAGACATACAGTATAGGGAGATTACCAGTTAATACCAGAATGCATGAAACTGAGCAAACCAAAACGCAAAAGGAAAAAACAGAAGATGTTGAAGTTGTACAGCTCTTAATTTTATTGTTTTGTATTTGGGCAGCGACAAGTCAGAAGAAAAAGAACAAAAGGAAGGCCAAGGCATCAGCAGCTCCAGTAGCATCTTCAACCTCCATGACTGTGGACAGTGGCTTCCTCTGCTGTGCTCACCATGAAGTCATGGTGGCTTGTCTTGCTATGCTTGGCGTGGGCATGCCACAGAACAAAGGTGTGTGTATGTAGGAAGAACCTATCATGTAATTCATGCATTTATCACTCTTCAGTTGCTCTAAAATATCACATTCAATTAAACTTCATTCCCTAATCCTTCCTAGACATCCTAGTGTCAGTGCTCCTGGTGGGGCTCGGTGGAGGAGGCCTTCCACAGTTTCTGTGGGACTTTATGCCCAATGTAACTATTGAAGTTGTGGAACTAGACCCAGTTGTGTTGGAGGTGGCTAAACAATGGTTCGGGTTTCAACCAGATGACCGTTTGACTGTCACTCTTGGGGATGGTCTGGAACGCATTTGTGCACTGGAAAAAGAAGGTCAGTGAGGGTGTGGATTACAGTGCAATTAAAAGTAATCCAGTGAATATAATGGTTCATCTGTATTAAAAATAAAGTATGTTTTGTTTTATTTTTTTTCCTTTTCTCTAGGTGGTCATTTGTTTGATGCCATCATGTTTGATGTAGACAATAAAGATAGCACTCTGGGTATGAGCTGTCCTCCTGCTGCCTTTGTAGAAACCCCAATCCTGCAGAAAGTCCGTAACTTGCTAACTCCCAGAGGTACAGAATCATTTTAAAATACTTTATCTCTTATGGTTAAATCTTTTTTGCTAAATTGATGTGACACTTGCAACCAAAATAAAATAGACTAATAAACAGCCATACTTTTATCAGTCTCAAACATGACATGTTACTTTTTGATACAAACAGTTTATCAAAGTTATGTGCTTAGTTTTCAAGTAATATCCTTTCTTTATCTCTCCCTGCCAGGTCTGTTCATACTGAACCTTGCATGTCGAGACCCAGCCTTGAGGAAAAGCGTGCTTGAGCGTGTCAGCGGCGTGTTTCCCACCATCCTGTCTCGAAAGATCGAGGAAGAGATAAATGAAGTCCTTCTGTGCACTCGTGGTGAAAAGGAGACAACAGACGCCACCCACATTTTGCCATCCTTAAACCAGGCAGCCAAGAATCTGCAGAGTGCACTGTGCTCCAGCGGGACTGAACCCAGCCGTAGGCCGCATATAGACATTGCAGAGTTGCTAAAAGACTTGAGAATAGTGTGAAGCATGTTTGTGACCATTGAGGGCTGAGGTTAACCACGTGTCGGGACAGTGTTTGAGATTGTACGACAAACATATTAAAATATGGGAAAAAGTGCTTTGACTTTGCCATTCAGTACAATGTCATTTAAAGTGTACATGTGTAACATAAGCAGTCACAAATAAACGTTTTATCCTTTAAACTTAAGTAGTAGAGTGGTACTGAAACTATTCTAACTATGCTGTTAGATGTCATAGATGGGACTGCATTATTTCACCACTAAATGCCTTCACTTTCTCTTTTACTTGTCTGTTTTCCATTGCACTGCACAGTGCTGGCTCCCTGCTCTGGTGAAGAATGCAGCAGCGTTATTTACAGTAGATGAATCGCACACTCTGGTTCTTGTTGCAAGTGTTGAGAGGGGAGCAGCGCAGACCTCCCCACACTGGATACGTGGGATTTTAAATAGCTGGAGGAGTGAATCCTCGCGTGCGCTCTCTTAATTCGGGGTACCTTCATAACTGGCTGTGAAGTTTGTCTATCTCCTGTTTAAGGGGTGGGGGCTGCTGAGTTAAACTTCTTTATTACCGCGCATGCGCACAAAACTGTTCCGTAAGCTGTCAAATCAAAGCGTTTTCTACTGAACAGAGACCAGACGTAGCACGGTGAGCGGTGACTAACTAATTAAAAATGTCCCGAGTTTAAGGAAAGCGACTCCCGTTACGAATTGCTGGAGTTTTAAAACAACGGAAAATGACTTCGAAGAGCTGTTTTCGGAGAGCAGAGGGGCGTGAGTACAAATGTGGACACTATCGTCGTTCCCAGACACACTAACCAGACCGTACTAACGACTGCTTAAAGCTGCGGATCTTTAAAAGTTCACACCGATCTTCAAGAAAACTCTAATTTGCAGTTTTTAATAACAGCAATAATAATTCTGCTTACCAGCAGCCACTCACTATGATAGTTACTTTATCAAGTGGTGTAGACTAGAAGCGGGGGTAAAGAGGCTTGGCAGGAGCTGGACAGGTAGCTACTCCTGTTGCGATGGGCAACCGCGGGATGGAGGATCTAATTCCGCTGGTCAACCGCCTTCGAGATGCCCTGAGCAGCGTGGGGGAAAGCTGCAGCCTCCACCTGCCCCAGATTGCTGTGGTGGGCGGCCAGAGCGCAGGCAAGAGCTCCGTGCTGGAAAACTTTGTTGGCAGGTAAACCAAAGATACTCATCTCTATACAACAGAGACCACTGATACCAAGAGAGCATTTTTATTTGTAACAGATCTTTTACAAATTAGTCATAACCATTATGAACAAGTTTCATATTCATGACTTTCCCCTAAGTGACTCACTCTTTACTAAAAAACGGTGAAGTTACAATGTTATAACTGATGATGATTATTTGAGTCATACCAAATCTATGAACCATCATGAACCAAATGCTATACTCACCATTAATTAATCAAACTGTCACAACTTAATTAGGCTGATCATAAACCAGTGAGCTTAATGTGGAGTAATAACTACGTTTGTGTGAGACTACTGGGGACACATTACTCGGGTTTGGCATGGCAAAAAATGTACTGTATACACTTTATATACAGTACTTTAAATCATTTTATATATATTACAGTATATACTTGTTATACACACAGTATTATGCAGAAAATACTGTGATCTTGACCCACAGCTCATTTTTTTGTTTCTAAGTAGCCAGACTTTCTTGTAATTTTTTTAAAATGTTCTTTTGTTGAAAATTGTCTTTTCCCCACCAATTTTCTGTCAATTTCTGACTATTTTCAAAGGTATTGTTTGTCTTCTTTTTTTAACTTAACACATCTAAAAATCACTGAAGAATCAAAAAGGCAACTAAGTAATGAACCAGTGTTGTGTTTACACGTAACAGACAACTTAGCAAAGAATCCACTTTAAATTGTATCTTTGGGTATTTTGCTGCTAACAGCCTGTTGCAAAAACACACAGTTTCGTCCAATTTCTTTAGTTGAATCTCCAAAAAACAACAAAGAAGATTGTCAGGCATAAGTAGTATTTGTGCACCAACAAGATGATAGGCCCCTTCAGCTGATCCATCCACTGTTCACTGCAGCTTCATCATAAATTATCTTAGTGGAAAAGTGGCTCTCAATAAGCCATTCCCAATGAAGGGAAACAGGTGGAAAATACTGAGAACTGGATTGAAAATCAGTGGTAACAAGTCTTTGAAGCGATAAATTCAAATTTTGATTCAAATTATCATCAACAACATCGTCAACAGCCTGCATCGTTGTCAGAAAATATGTATTTTTTTTATTTAAATAACTTGTTAATTGTATTAAAATACAATTGGTGAGTTTTTTCTGTTGTCAAAACTGTTCAAGGTTGGGCCTGTGAAATGCATGATTTCCCTAAAGTGAAAGGAAAACTTAATACAGCTGCCTGTGTTCATACTTTCTACATCATGGCATCTATCCAACTCTAGTCTTAAATGCTATGTTGCTAGTCTGGAGTGGTGGATGCCGGGCATGTCAGGGTCTGTATGTAAGTAGTCAGTATAGCAGCTTATCTCATAGAGAGGTGTCACTGAATAGGTGACAGTTAATATGACTTCTGAAACACAATCAAAGCAGAATTCTTGCTATCTTGTAAGTCATTACGTTCACCAAGGTGGAGCTAAACAAGCTTTGTTTTGTTTCATCTTTTTCTGCCCTTTAACAGATTTCAAGGTCCTAAAAATATCGTCGCTTGCTTATGAATAACAGTGTTGTTTGGGTAAAGTTTAAATGCAACTGAGAGCATTTGGTGTGTGATGAGGAGACCAAGTACTTCTATCCTGTCCGGAAGGAAAACTGATGATTAAGTCAATAGTCTTCAAGCTTCCTGAGACAGTAAAGCTTTGTTAGCCGTAGGAGGCCTATGCATTGTTCTGATCTGCTAGCCGCTATGCAATAATAATGTGGCATTCCAGTCAAGCAGGATGTATCACAGTCCATGATATTTTGTAAATACCGTTGGACAATGATATGTATCAGACTTCTTTGTGAATGACGCAACAGCGTTAAACTTAAGACAGGATGTAATACAAACAAACTTCTGAATCATTTTAAAGGAACGGATTATTTATACCCGGTAGCATTGGTCTCTAGAATTAACCCTTTATTTAGCTTTATTACCCAATCTAATCCATGCTGTTTTAATGCAACAATTGACAGCAACAGTCACCTCAGACTGCTTTATTTTGTAAGCTGTTATACCCTATAATATTGGAGAGAAAACCCCAATGATGAGACAATCCTTTGTGAGCAAGCACTTGGAAACAGTGGGAAGGAAGATCTCCTTTTTAACAGGAAGAGACCTCGTTTAAGGAGGAGCAGTTATCTGTTGTGACTTGTTGGGGGTTGAGAGGAAAAAGAGAGAGAAAAGGCAAGCATAGCAAGACCACGAAACAAAAAGGACAAAGCACAAACTATGGGAGAGGGTAGAAAAATTTATGACATGTGATAGTTATATTAAAAAAACACTGGGAGTGAACAAAAGGGAAGTGGAGAAGAAATACTGTGTTCCTCATGGAAAGTCCCATGGCAGCCTGAGTTAATAGCAACAAAAGTAAGGGATGGTTCAGGGTCAGCTGATTCAGTGGAAACTGTTAGCTGTATCAAAAAGGGAGGCTTTAAGTCTATCTACTGAACCTAAATTGGGAGCTGGTTCCACAGAAGAACAGCCTAGTAGTAAAGGCTCAGCCTCCCATTCTACTTTTGGAAACTCTAGGAACCACAAGTGATCCTGCAGTCTGACAGAGAAGTGCTTGGTTTGGATAATATGGGATAATAGGATTTTAAATTCAACTGGATTTAAAAGAGCGTTAGTGAAAAGGAGATGATATGGGAGAAATTCTCTTTCTAGTCCATGTTAGTACTCTTATTGCAGAATTTTAGATCAGCTCAAGGCTTTGGGGGGAGTGACAATACAGAATTACAATAGTGCAGCCTAGAAGTAACAATAGAGATGAAAGAAGGCAGTCCTATATATCAGTTTATTGTGTCTCTTAAAGGACATATAGTGGTGAAAATCATAGGTCTCTTTACAGTATTACTAGAGGCCAGGTTAATACCATCCAGGTTACATATCTGATTATTCCTCAATTCTTCATCTGGTTCAGCGGATTAAATGCTAATCATTTTCTTGGTCTTGGTAACAAGAACGTTGCTGATGTTTTAGGACAGGGCTGTCAAACACAGGCTCAAACCTGGCCCAGCAGATGGCTTACAAAGACCAGGGAAGTTAAAATTGTAGTGTCTTGTATATCTTCACTTTACTACATCGGTGTACACATGTACTGAAAATTTGATTTCTAGATCTTGACAATTTGTACAGTAACGTAAATTAAAGTTATGCAGTTGCTTTACTGGTCCGGCCCAGGTGAGCACCAACAAAACACATGGGGTCCATGAACCGAAGTGAGTGTGACACCCCTTTTTTAAGCAGTATGGCAACTGAACTAAACCTAATACTGGGTGCTATTGTGTCTAATGCTATAAAGGTACTCCCTAAATACTTTCAGTTTAATGGTCATATCTGTGGAAAAGTATGTAAAATATTAATATGGTATGGTAAACTTAATGTTTTATATTTGGTTTTGTGGTGGCGGGGAAGATGAATCAGCACCAGTAATAATACGCACATCTACGTGTATATTCTTTTATCTTTCCTCTAACAGAGACTTCCTTCCGCGGGGTTCAGGAATTGTTACTCGGAGACCTTTAATTCTCCAGCTGCTAAGTGATAACACAGGTAAGAAAGCTCATAGGGATGTCATGCCGTAGCATTTCTTTAAAACTGGCACCAGATGGCAGTATGGCGTCTTATGATGACTGTGCCTCATAGAGTCCTGCTTTTTATTGCCCATTTCTATAAAAAAAGAGGATTGGCATGATGGATAGCATTTTTATTTTTTCTCAGAAACAGTCAAAGTATTTTAAGACAGCTGCTAGAAGAAAACAGTTGCCAGAAAAATTGGTTATACTGAAAGTTAGTGCTATGTTATTGTGTTAGCCAGTTGACTAATTTTAAGAACAGCTATAGATTTGGTGGACTAGGCAGAGTTTTTCCAAAGATACTGTAATGCTAAGATGATATTATGAGCCTCTTATTGTTTAGCTGCTGCATGTATTCAAATGCTCTGTGTCTCCCCCAGAGTATGGTGAATTT